TTTATTACATTGGATCTTGCTTCACGTTGTTGAACTTGAGAAGTATCATTACACCATCCATTTTGTGTACTTGACCCAAATGACTACGAAGATTACCATCACTTTTATTGGATGTTCTGATAGACTAAAAACAGATAAATAGTTAAGAGAGAATGAAAATGAAATGATAAAATGCATGCAATTTTTTATCACAGCTTGACGTTAAAATGGTTGAATTAATATTTTCCCCTTACAGTAATAAAGCGACTACAAAATATTTAATGTGAACTATTTGTTATTGCAATAATCAACATTCAGTTTTCACAGTATCATAAATTTTTCTTCAAGAACAACTTTTATACCTGATGGTGCTTTACGGTTTTAAGCACTACTATGACGGTTTCGTACAAGTATATTCATACACTAATGTTGCAACTAAAATTCGCTCTCTTCACAATGATACGTAGGATATTATTATCGTTGGTCATTAGAAAAAGAATAAGAAATGTTTTTTTTCTGCTTTAATTTTTAGATTTGATTTTGTTGCAGAATCTTTTAGTTTTTCTGCTAAAGTAGCTATAATTTACGATATTATGCTCGTTTATCAAGAAACATTATATAAAATTAAAATTTATTTACTTTACTGGCCTATATAAAATTTATTTATGTGTAAAAACTGTTACATGATACAAAAGCTCGTTTAGCCTTGTGTGAGTTTCTCAATAGAAAAATGCAGTAAAAAACAAAACTATAAGGGCTTAAAAACAAACTAACATGTTTTTCATGGATATATATATATATATATATATATATATCGTCGTCATTAGGTTTAAAGATCTGTGATTCATATAGCAACAGCTTCATCTAAGTAAAAAATGAAAATTATTATGCTAATGTAGAACATGAATATCCTATATAGTATCTATTGTAGCATTTATCTTAATATAATACTAAGTCGGACTTATGTTGGCATGTACACACATAAATTTAACATAAAAGAAGTCAGCTAATTTCATTATTCATTATATCATTTTATAGTATGACAACAATGAATTATTCGTCATATATGAGAATCATACAAATGGATGACTATCACATTCAACCTTTTCTCGTAGTTCTATATTATAGGCCAATGACTAAGGTGAACTATATCAATTAAAAAATAAACAAAACATCAACACTATACTTAATGATTGTAATGTGACAAAGTACTAGCATCTTTTGCATTTAAAAATATCGAATATAAAAAATAAGACGCATAATTATAATCATTACTACTATACTATATGATTATAGCGCAAGATTTTAAGTTTATATAAAGCTGAAATGAGAAATCGGCTATGATGTAGCAAATATTACTTATAATAGATTGAAGTTGAGTCTCACAAGTAATAGGCCATATATTCAATATAGGCTGAAAATGATAGTTATCAAATTTCGTTTTTAAGTAGAAAACACATTGATAGAAGTGCTATTGTTCCAATTCATGTTGAATATTAGATAGTATTGTCACTTCTGCATATCGACTAATAATTGTATAAGCTATAGCAAACCGTTTGTGAATGATCGTATATACTGATAGTGATAGGTATTCAAGATTGATTAGAAAAAGTCTACTTTGATCTTCCCGAGTTTCTCAATATTTTTATTTCAATAAAACTGATCGATTCTGTTTTAGCAACTCGATTTTTATGAGGATTTCAGGAAAGACGTACTTCTTTAGGTACTCTTTCTCTCTGAAAACTTAACAACATAAAAACACCTGAAATTTATTCTAGAATACGATTTATATGACATTAAATGAGTTTATGATGGAGACATTTTTCTTAAATTTTCCTACATCCTTACTTTCAAACAGATTAGGGACATATAAAAATTATTCGATAAATAATCGAAATATGGCCACGCAGATGTTAGTTTATTGGTTTGTCGGTTAGCTTGTTGTTCTAAAATTGTAACCTCTTCCTCGTCCTCGGACCGTTCCATTTCATTTGTATTATTATTTGCAGATAAGTGTTGGCTGTCATTTGATGTTAATTCAACTGGATCAGATACAATTTGTGAATTTGTTGAACTTGCATTAAGATTTTCAGTTGAAGCAGTAGCAACAGCAATAGACGTATCTATTTTTGATTTAGCTGAATTACTTCGTTTGGAGACAGCACATCGTTGTAATTGATTACGGCGGAGATTATAAGGACTTTGAGGTAGTGAAGATGTTGATGGACTATCATTTCGAGTTTTGTTGTTGTTTTTAGAATTCATATGTAATTTGTATAATGCAAAACGACGATTTAGCTGATTCAACAAGAAAAAAGTGTAAATTTTACTGATCACAGTCAGATAGTTATACATAAACTACTTTATATTTTAAAATAAGCCGTGTTTTATTTTTCTTTCCCCATTATTGTTCCTATTCGTTAGCCTATTCTCTTTTCCATTCTATTCGCGCTAGCTGTTCTATTGGTTACTTCACTGAATATTGTAATAGGTCGTAGAAGGTAGAGATGTACGCGCTTTTTGCTAGTCTTTTATGATATATTTGCTTTGTTTAATTTAAAAAATAATGGAAAACTTGTCCGAAGTTCTCAATCTGGATTAAAAAGACTAATAATTTCACATTCTCTCCATTGAATAATTTCATAATGTACGACATTTGGGGTTGTGTCAGCGCTGACTATCTTATGTGATAGGCATTATTCCGAATTAGTGAAGTAGACATTATAGTTCTAGTGTGGTTGATATGATGCAATATGATTTAATTATGCTGTATCATATTATTTCTTTCTGTTACAAACACTTTTTGTAACATCTAGCAATGCTCAGAAAGACAAGCAATATTTTCCGTAGATTTTAATTCCAATACGCGTATAGAATGCCAGTAAAAGATATTAAAAGTTTCAATTATTCTCAACAATTGAATTTACAGCACTAGAGATGAAACTAATTCTTTTAGATGAATTTGCCTCATGTTGCGTATAATACAAAATTTGACTCGACAATGCACAAGTTATAAAAAAAGTTGAGCAAATAGTTTATTCTTATTCAATTTATAGTTAATGATTTAACGAATTCATGTCTCATCATGACAGTGACGAAAATCTATGTTTTGTTTGACAACAGAATAGAACAATCAAAGTGTTCTACCGTGAACCAATTTCTAACTATTGAATTTACTTTATAAGTCTTGAGTATTTTTTTGAGAATGACTTAGACACTTAATATATTATTATTTTGTACAGGATCAAATCAAAGCGAGACAATGTGAGTTAAAAACTATAAACAATTATCATATTACCATTAGTTATCATCAAAACATGGCTAAACAATTTTTCAATCGTTTTAGAAGAAACAATTGACATTTGCACGTAATTTTAAGCAAAATCTCTCTTTTAGAATATATGACAAAGTTATAAGGTCACTCGTTTTCTTAAGTTTTGTTAGTCGTAATCTCTCAAATTCGTCTAGAAGATAAACTACCCTGATGGCATTTGATGCATGACTTCTTCCAGCCTTGTGACTAACGTAAAAGAATTTCTATTATATATTAGATGTTCTGTAAACTTTACTTAAGCTAAAAGATATAATGTAAGACATAGGACTAAGTCACCAGTTGTGAAAAGTCATCGAGAACTACCATAATTTAATACAATGCGAAAAGAAATTATCTAAATATAAATTAAGTGAAGAAAAATTTAATTCAATAGAGCGAAAGCAACTTGCAAAAGTATATTTTCTTCATTTTAATCACTAAATCGTTCGACTTTACTGATTTTATTTATTCATTCAATCGAATATATCAATTGGTCTCATTTAGCAAAAGAAAGCGTATTTTTCCTATAGTGGAAACAAGGCTGTTACATCGATTAGACAAATTTTGAACACTAAGCTTAAAAAGTTAATATCAACGCTGACGTTTCCTAGCTGGTAAATTCATACAACTTGCATCAGTTTCTCTATAAGACAAGATATTCAAATAAAAAATGTTGTGAAGAATGATTCAAATCAACAGCACTTTAACTCATCTGAATCATTCCATATTCGTCGTTGCTATACAGATGAGTCAGGGGAGGATTCACACATACCATTTCTATATGATGAATGCTAATAAAAGTGAGTTAGGATTGTTGTCAATATTTCTGTTTCAGGCATGTTTTTCTCTCGACTCACACATCGCATTCCCCAAAGCTTTTATTCTGTGTTCGCATTAGTCAATTTTTACTCGAAGATTATCTTTTATAAACAGATTATGTATATAAAATTTATGCTATGTTGATTTTACCAGCTCACCGGGATGTTAAAGATCTACTTATAACCCTTAATAGCAGTTTAATGTTCTCATCGACATTTGAAAACTGCAACGCAACTTTATAGAACTCAGTCATGTTCATAAAATGGTCGTTTTCTGATGATGAAGTCAGCTGTGAAATTATGAGAAACCAATTTCAGATTTAGATTCCTTGACCTCCAAAACGTGCTATTAGAATTTCTAAGAAATAGGTATTTTCAAAAAATAGCATCTCTTTAAAATACAATCAAAAGAAATTCATGTTTTCGGCAGATGAAACATTTTATCACTTAATTTTAAGTGAATTAAGTGTTAACGTGGAAAGCTTAATACTTAATATTAACAATTAAGTGTTACGTTAACACTTAATATTAAAAATTAAGTATTGTGTTAACATTTAATATTAAGTAATTAAGTGACTAATGCAAACATTGTTTTATTAATATTAAGTGTTAAGTAAAATCACTTAATTAAGTCTCTTAATTAGCTCCAATTAACATTAACGGTCCACCCCTACTATTGTTACTTAGATAAAAAGTGCAAAAAACAAACGTGACGTTTTTAGTAACGCTGAGGTCCAGTTTTTTCTCCATCAATTTTGAAGCAATTAACATCATCATCATTATTTGATTTCTATTGGTGCTAGTCTTTTCTTTATAACTAATCTTTCTACACAAAACGAAATCGATACATCTGTATGGAAGCTCATAAGCGGCACAGTGAATTAGAACGTGTATAAGACTCTACATTGTCCTTTGGTACGAAAGTCAAAACGAAATAGGCCATCTTGTAGAGACTGAAATTCTGCATTTAATGATCTGTCATTGCTATTTTTTGAAAACATTTCTTGGTTAAAAAGCTCAAAATGCTCTTTTGAAAACATTAAAACGCAGTTTCGGTGTAGGTGGATGTGAATATAAACGCAATACGAACCATTATCCACACCCTGATCTATTTTGTATTAATGTATTAATATGTAAATAAATATATTTCGACTGAATTTAAGGCCCCCCCCCTCAGGAAAGCCGATTTTTCGANCTTAAGCCCACCCCCTCAGAAAAGCCGATTTTTCGAAAAAAAACGAAATCGAGTTTTTATCATAGGAAGATTCCCCGCGATCTCCTCTTTCAGAATATATATGATTTTTTGAAAAAAGGTTAAGTTTTGACAGACTTATTGAAGAAATACTCTTTCATCTCCCTTACTCCCACACACCTTTCTAAAAATTCCTAAATGTTGGTCTGAAAACATGGGTCTCAAGCAGAAAATTTTTTATAACTTTCGTTTGGCTTTAGCTTTCCTCGATATTTTTTTTTTGTATTTTAAAGGTCTGAATCAGAGCTAACTTTTCATCAACCGGATTTTCGATATTTGATTCCTGAACTGAGAAAAGTCTGATTTAGTGCGTTTTTTATACCTAATTTGGCTGTCATACGGAATAAAATGCTGATAAAAAATGAATAGAAGCGAATTTCAAAATTCCGTCCAATGAAACGTTGCGTATGGAGGCTAGCTTTAATTTGAAATCTACCCGACCTCGGTAATTTTTACAGTTATGAAGTTATAACAATTCTCGTGAAAGCTATAAAATAAGTCGTAAGTCTAGTTTGGTTAGGTGTATTAAGCTGAAACTTATACCACACACGCTTCTCACTATGATCACTCACTCCTGTAACTTTCAGCCCAAACGGATCTTTCCAAGTGGCAAATCGATTGTGAGGGGGGGGGGCCCTTAACGTGAGATTAAGAAGCTCTATCCTTTAATTTATTTACCATTCTGCAAGCAGCGTAAATCGATTCTTCATTCGCAGTTCAATCTTGAGGATGTGGGTGTTGGGTGTGGGTGGGTCGGTGTGAATCCTCTGATGTTCAACACACACCCACATCCACAGCCACAGTCACACCCACATCCACACCCACAGTCACACAAACACCCACACCCTCAAGCTTCTAGTTTAACGTGGAGCACAACGAATGATTGACAACTGATAGTTAAAAATATTGCTTATTGCCATGGCAATACTTTCGTTGATATAATGAGTATATAATCATCTATTGCAGCACAGATCAGTGGATAATAGTAATATGAGTTGTACAGAAATTTTCATATCCACATGCGTAAATGCATGATGCTCTATGTATTTAAGAATTTCATGGCAAGTTTTACATTTTTGCATGTTGATACATTAATTATTTATTCGAAAGTAAAAAAGCAATCCTCCTTATCTATTGTATGCAGCTTGATAAAATTCCTCTTTTATCAAAGTCTTTCAAATCCTTCAATGCTTGTTGCCTGTTAATGATTTACTTTTAAAAAAATCAAGCTATTCACTTCAAAACACGTTTCATATTTTCGAAAGAGCGGCCCGACTTAGTGCCACTAACAAGATGAATAAATATCAATGATGAAATTGACGGTTTGACGAACTTAGATTTTTTCCTTTCCTTATCGCTTACAAAGGGTGGCATGCAAAATTTGTTTTTTTCTATCAGTTTTGTGAATCGTTCTATATTAATCATCGTGACGAATACAAATATAACAGTTAAAATAACGAAATAAATATGTATTTAATAGCACGTACAAGATGTAACTGTTATACTTTGTTATTTCAGATCTATACACGATGCAATTCTTTCTCAGCTCATTTTTTCTCTTTTGTCTCTTATTTTCAACAGCATCGTAAGCTACTTGAAATGAATTTTTCTTTGGTTCATCGTTATTATTCTCTTTCAGAGGTTTCTTATCATCTTCGTGCAGAAAACGGGGTGAAGTGTGTCGAGCAAGTGGCGATTGCTGTCCAGTATTGGGTCATCGTATTGTATGTGCTCCACATCGAAAGATATGTGGCAAGAAAACGTGCTGTGTTACTGAAGTCGAAGAGCAACAAGAACGGCAAGCAGCTATTATACGAAATCGTAATCCTAAACTAAAACAGATGCTATCAAAAATTATGGGACAATAGAGAAAAATAATAACGAGAATTTTATATTATACATCTAAATGAATCTTGTAATTTGTTTTTGTAATTGTACATTGAATTTTTTTTAATCCATTCGAATTTTTAGTTTTTTCATATTAAAAAACCATGGTCGCATCTCATCATCTGTAGTAGTCAACAATAAATTGGCGCTGGATGCTCATTGAAGTAGCCTCATTTTTAGTTTGTATGAAGAAAACGTAGCAGACACTTGTACTTAATTTTTACCACCAGGTAAAGTATTCATGTTCGTCAACATTATCCCTTTCTCCTTCGATTGAGAAGTATTAAATTGAATATTCTGGTTGAAAAAATTGACCGTCAAACCTCAACGCATTGTGTGCACAGCACGTTAAGCTCTGAGAAAAATAAAAATCACTACCGAATAGACAGAAGTATACCGGGTTTTTCGTTTTAGATATCCCTCAAGTACGTTCGTCAAACTCCACAAATGCCTAGAGTTCAATTTCAATCGAATTCAAACACATTAATTTATCATACGATAGTAAAAGATTATTTTTCACACAATTGTCTATCAGATTATTTTAATATAATCACTTTGACGATTTTAAGATTTATTCGAAAACATACAGGGACTATCTATGATTTTTGAAACCTGATAGAATGATCGAAACACCGCAAATTTCTCGGCAAGCACTATCACGAAGATAAGTATGAATCAACCTCAAATAATTTGAAAAAAGCATCACCGACATAAAAAAAAAAGATATTGCAATGATTCCTGTTATAGGAAAACCTTCACTTCAAACTTCCTATTTCAACATGAAATAATAATAAGTTCTAATATAATAAACAAATGAATAAATAGGATCCTTTTTATCATTTACTTTTACATATCTAATTCAGAATAATCTATTTCTAAACTATAACATTAGTTTACAAAAATATACAGACACGTCTAATTACTATGTACAAATGAAATAAGATGAACAAAAAAACCGATTTATTTAATTCACAAGTTCTAAAATATCTACAACTAATAGTCTAATACTTTAATCCGTTGTTTAGACTACATAATAAAATTAGAATTATATGTTTCCGAGTATGATTCATTAAACGCATACTTAATTGTTGAAAATTGGAATGTATGTTTGTTTATTACTACGTTAAATAAATTTTCTAAAGTTGAAAATCCAACACAATTAAAATGACCGATAAAGAGGCGTTGTTTCAAGTTCAAAAATAGTATGAACAGTTTGACCCAATGTTAATGCACTTTGAGCCAACTGAGTTATTGAATAATGCATAGCATGATAAGCGATAAAGATCAAATCTGCTTCATTATTATTCGCATAAGGTACAAATGCAGAACATAGTTCACCTTCAAGTAAACAATCAAGATAGTATTGCACTAATCGATTGAGTCCTTCTTGATATCGTGCTTCTAGTCGATTAACTGACTGATGTAGTTCAATCAAACATTGCTCGTGTCTTTTAAAATCATTTTCAATGATTTTTCTGCGTGAAGCATTACATTGACGAAATAGCTGATAAGAATTTGTTTGTGACAAATTGAAATAGGATATCCATACATGAAAACAACTAATTAACTGCTTGCTTAAGTCAGTCAATTCTGTGCGAAAATTTGGAAGAAAATTTCCTCCAGCAGCATTTATTTGAAGGTTTCGGATAGTTTTTGAATGCTCATTCGATCGCATTAACTAAACAGAAATAAATGAAGTATCGATTCTATGAAATTTCTTACTGCTCCATCTATACTGTGTAACATTCTATATGTATTTATTTGTTGTTGAGCGAGCATGTTGTACAGTTTTGTTGAGAAACCATTATTAATACACCATAAGACTGGTTCAAGTGCTGCATGTTCGATCAGAATTCGTTGTAGATTAGCTAAACGATGAAAAATATTTCTTTGATCATTTGTAAATGATTGAGGTTCTTTCTCTTCTAATCCAACATGAACGCAAGATTGATTGGCTTGATCATGATGAAATAGATTATCATATACGGAATGAATCGATATAATACTTTCTCGACACATTGTCAGTGTGCCTAAAATTTATGGAACAAAAAGAAATATTCATTGATTTAAAATCCAAAGCGAAAGTTTACTTTCTATATTATCTTTTAATGAATCAATAGCGAATATTGGAAAAATAAGAAGAGTAAGAACGGCAGCGATTGTAATGCCTACAAAACTTTCTTCAATTCGAGTAAGTGCAAAATTGCTAACAGGCAACGGTCGTAGATTTCCAAAAGGTAATCGACCCAAAGTGATTAAGACGGGTGTAAAAGCAGCTACAGTAGCAGTGTAACCCCAATTAGGTAAAAGTTTTAAATAGCCAAAAATAAATATCCATGGAGCTAACATTCCTATCGTTTGATATACATTATCATGAACTACTAAATATGTTACATATGCCCATATTGAACCTAAAATTATTTTCAATAAGTAAAAGTTAATTTTATATTTCACATTGGCAACCATTATAAATCGCACAAAATGAACGGTTTCAAGCACTTCAAAGAGCAAGAATTTAATTATTTACATTTGAAATCAAGTTCTCACTATTTTATTTAGTTTATTTTAGTTTATTTTTTTCTACTAATGTTTTATTGCAAGGCAAGACATCTTGATCAATTTACACAAATGCTATTCTTGTATTTGTATTTGAGATTAGAGCGCGAAATAATTCAAATGTTTCGAAGGCTATACATTGACTCTCAACATTAGTCAGGAAACGAAATCTTATCTCGTTATCTTCTACGAATATTATGGTACGTCTGATTAGAAAAAAATATTCATATAAGTGAACAGAATTTTCGAAGAAAATAATCGAACCTAATAATGTTCCCATAAGTCTCATTTTCATTGTTGTAAATGCGCCACCAACTGTATCACTGAGTGTCACACAAAGAGTAAATAAAATCCATTGTCCATTTTCAAATGCTTTTGCTAGATGAGTTTCTAGAACGAAGATGGCACCAACTCCAATGATTATTGTACTTTTTAAAGCTGACGATAGACGAGGCCAATCTAATTTAAATAGTACTTTTACATCAAATTTTTTCGATTCGTGAATTTTTGGACAATTGTTTTTCAAAATTTTTCTTCTCATTCCAAATGTTAAAATTCGTACAATAGCACCAAGTTCAAAAAGAAAAAACTCATGCGATATATGATCTGCATATTGTATTGTTGCTGCAGATTCAAGTACGTGTTCAATTTGTTGCAGTCGAGCTAAAACATAAGCCGAACGAATTGATCTAAAAGCTTCTTCCAGATTGATGGTTTGACGAGTGAATTCATCTTGACTGACAGAGGACGATGCAGTAAGACTTGAAATAAAAGTCGATTGACATGAACCAAGATGTAAAAGACTTGACTCAAGTTCATTGGTAAAGTCTCTATGATAATCATTAAATACACAATGTTTAACCATCAATTGAAGTGAACATACATGAACCATCAATGACGTAATGAAATTTTGTTGTTCTAAAATAAATTATAAGAAGAAAAAAAAGATTTCTAATTCAAAAACGTTACCCTGTAGTGTTAAATCAATAATATCTCTGCGTTTACGATTGAATCTTCGTTTTAAATATTCGGTTGGTTCAAAACGAGCTTCATCAATTCTGTTTTGAAGAGGATCCAATGCTTTATTAACCAAATTTTCTAACATAGATGCTCGAGTAAGGAACATATGAGCACTTGTTTTATCATGACATAAAAATCCGCGAATGATTAATGTGTGCATTTGTTGAAGTTTTAATAGAGAATAATTGAAACGGTTTTCAATATCAAAAGTAGCAAATATAGGAAAGATAGTAAAGGATATGAGTGAAGCCATGGACATTCCAAGAATATAAATTCCAAGTAATTCAAACGATAGTATTGATGTATCTGCACGTCCGTAAACATGCGACGCAAAATAAAGTGCATTATAAAGTAAAGAAAGTTTCTTAGTTTGAATCTAAATATTTATTTTTGAAAATTAAACGATAAAAATAATCTAATTAATCGTGTATAAAGTTTCAAAAGTTAATTATATTTACCTGAGTACAACCGTATGAAATACAAAAAGATGTAAATAATAACATTACAAGTTCACTGACAAAATGGCCATGATAATCAAGACCCATTTTTTGTACGACAAATAAAAATATTGCAAGAGGTGTTATAGTTAACGTTATTTTATAAGAATAAGATAATGTCGATCCAAATGTTTCTTGTAAACATAGAATACTTATAATTGGCAGAAAATATTCAAGTGAAAGATTGTCAGCGAGACGTGTTCCGTAAGCGAGAAAGCTGATGCTTAAAAAACATATTACTTCTCGTAATCCAAATTGAAGATTTCTCATAAATTCTGAATGAATCCATAGAGAATTAGAGCCCGAATGATGATAATTAAGATAAAAGTGACGTGTAGTTTGAGATATCGTGAAAATAGTCATTTTACATAAACTTTGTTTATTCTTTCATTATTTAGTTATATACTTATGAACCGAATTCGTATGTGGCCACTCCCCTTTTCTTTATAAAAAGATAAAGAAACGAATACATATATATACACGTATACAGTAGTCATCTTGGAACGTAGCCAAATGTATCGCTGCGTGCATCGTGTCGTTACGAGTCATCAGCTTGGTAAGTATTTTTTAACACGGTCACGGCCACGATTGTGACCATAATCGTTATAACCTTGTATCGCGAAAATTCGATTGATTGTACTAATGCGATTTGTTACTAAGTGGCGACTCATAAAAGTATATTGATTCGAGTCATTTTAAGTGCTGCATTACTTGACACGAAAAATGAACATACATTGATGACATATTTGATTTCATTCGAGAATAAGTTAGGTCATATTATTTGTAGTCAATTGAAACATGAAATTACAAATTGATTAGTTCTTCTGTTCGTTATTGTGTTGATAGTAGATCGTCTGAGAATTTTATCAGTCCAATGTCGAATGATTTGTTCGAACGTGTATAAGAGCAATATGTAAGCGAGAGAGTTTAGTACAAGGAATGTATAACAACGACGAAAAAAGGTTCATTGAAGATGTGTCGATGTAAGACACGAGGAGAAAAGAAGGAGAACGTGTTTAAATCTCAATTTATACAGCCATGATAGATTATATACTATGTTCCACAATATAAATAATCCTTTGAAGAAATCCAACTACCTTGATTTTTAGCAAAACTCTTATTTGTACTATTGTTCCATAGCATTAGAATTGCGTAGATATTGGTAGTTTTCATCAAAATTTTCAAATTTGATCAACTATGAAGACTGAATTTTTGAAACGGATATCAATCTATCGAAATGATTCGACTATTTACCATTTGCAACTTTAATCTTTTATGCACGACTTATTATGATATTTACTATCGTCAATTTTATCAATGACAACATCAATCGCTCAAACATTCGAAATGATTTCGACTGAAGTCTCAATAATAAAGCTGATAGTTAACTCAAGTAATAGCCTCTAATAGGCAACTACAAAAGTAGATTGATAGAACCTTTCTAATTTATCTTCTATCAAAGAATTGAAAGATTCAGAAATAATACATGATCATTCAGCATTTATATTCTTAGTATAAGCAATAAATAGACGACAAAGCAAAGTTGAATCATTATTCAAAAAATAATAAAGAATGAATTTTATATGGACTATTTCCTATAAAATATTTTACAGTAATCATGCATTCAATAGCTATTTATATCGATCTGCTTTCTCTTCTTCAACTTTGTGTTTGATGTAAAAGAAATTGTTTGCAGAATACTGAATAAATTACGATATCCGATGCCAACAGGTGTCACTTATTTTGATTTGCATATAAAAATGGAGATTTTTAAATATGAACCATCACCATGACTAACTTCTACACAAGTGCAACTGACAAGAGAGATCTCTTGTAACTTTCTTACATTTTAAATAAGTCTTATATTCTTTAAAGTAAAAAATGAACTCTAGTAAATCTAAAACCACATATCAGTAAAATTAGTAACATATATTCTGTGACGAGTGAATCACTACTGTCTGAGTTGAATTTGTTTTCGTTTTATTGATAAAAGAAAAATTGAATCGATTGTTCAATGAATAGGATCATTGAATTTCTCTTGAAAAGTATCTGCGACGATATAATTATGTCATGCATGGCACCATTCCAGAATTGTTAGCCGTAAATATTTTCGTAATTTATGAGAATATAAGAACAAGTCAATAATATCACATAACAGACTTATTTCAGCTAAAAGTGACATAGCACTTAATACAACTATATTCATGGCAATGTGATTCATGAGAATCAATATGATATGAATAGGAACCCAACCAGCTACAAAAACTATGAACATAATAATCATGTGTCGAAGTAAATAAATATCTCGTCGATTAATTTTTGACTGTTGGTTAACGGTATCAGTGGCTATTCTGGGTTGTAATAATGGTCGGATTCGACGCAATGAAGATTTAACATGTTTCCAAATAATTATATTTGCTACCACGCACACTGACATAGGAATTACTATTGTAATTGCCAGTGCATAATATGACATCCAATAAGACATAACACAGGGCTAGATGTAAATAAAAGAATCGAATAGTTTTGCATTACATTGATTTCAATTTATTGCAAGTCAAATCTATTAAGATGCTCCTATTTTTAAAATAAGTAGTTCTATTTTTGAAAGTCCTTTATTAATATGAACGAAGTCAAGTTTGTTTTGTGATATTAATAGTTCAAAATTCGTTTTACATTTTTGACAAAAATGCTAACTCAACGAAAGAAAAATTATTATGAAAGCAATGCTAGAATACATGTGTAGTTATTTTTTTAGGAAATATTTACAGTAAATTTAAAGAGAATAACCATTACTCCGCATAGCTAATTATCTTTATTGAATGAGAACATACATTTGATCATGGCTAACAGAAAGATTCTTACCCTTTCACTTTTTCTGAAGAATGGTAATGGAATAAGAATACCAGTCAACCATTGACCTATGAGACACATTGATATGCATCTTTTATTCTGAAACGCAATCTTATTGTGATAAACTACAGAGCTCAATCGATGAATAGACACCAACACTAAAGCCAATGGCACTTGAAGAGTACACATTGTTTGAGCATACAATTCGAGAGAGCATGTTCGTGCATCGGTAGGTTTTTCAACACGGGTCAGCTTCAAAATGGAGACTACTAACCAATAGATAGAACAAAATAATATGGCCATGGATGTATTAATAGTAAATACGTGTATACGATGGCAAAATCGACGAATAAACATAAGCGGAATGGCGTAAATCAAAGTTAACGGAACAATGATTCCTATAATGCAGACTTGAACGATTGTGATAATCGATGAAACGTCGGACATTGTTGTTGTAATATTAAAGTATCGAGGAGTACTTCGACAAATTTTTGAATAAAATAAACCACAAGCGAGTACGAAGTGTTATTCAAAGCGCTCTAGAAATCGTTAGAAAAATAAATTCAAAAAACAAGTTACAAATTGTTTTTTTTTCTTAGTGTGCGGAAAGATAAAGGCATGACAGATACTAGGTAGACACTAGTAACATTAACTTAATTTATTGATATTTATTCTAATGTATGAAAGTCTAAATAGAAATTGAACCTACTGAAGTGACGCGCATTGTTGAATATCAGATTCGTTGAGATGGATCAATGCAAGAGAAACTGTTTGAATCTAGCAGGTTTTTATTGTTTCGAATTTTAACTGTTTCAAGATTGTACTAATGTGTCAGTGAACTCCGTTTTTTTTAGCTTCACGAATACGTCCTATTTTTCAATCAAAAACTGAACTATATTATATACTTAAAATAAATATTAAATGAGATAATCATCATTTTCGTAGATTATTTTCTTTCGTAGGATCGTTTGTTACAAGATAACCAAGTGTTACGTTATAATTTTACTGTGAGAACTATTTAAATATAAATTCTTATTTCACAACAGATGTTTAAGAAAAATAAAAATCTCAGGAACGGAACTACTTGCCAAATACCATTAATTCATGTTCCGTTTAATCCGCCAGGATAGTAAACATCTATATCTATAAATAAATTATTGGTGCGGATAAGACTGGCCCATAAAAAACAGGAAAAATAAGTCACATTTTAGAAGACATATGCCTACGGGGCACATACCTATGAATTAGAGTTGTTCGTGTGCTTTCTATGGTTAGAAATTTGCATCTTTAGGCCTATTTATTAAAAAAAAATCTTTTTTAGAACTAAACAATAGAACAGATTTTGTTATTGATATTTAATAATGATTCGACAAATAAACTGCAACGGAAAAGGTGTTGTATGAACTTTCAGTTAAATGCACCAGACTATCATTGTATAAAAATTGGGTATAGATCATGAGTCATGATTGAACTTCATTCAAACTTTACACGTACATGTTTTTCAAAATAACCAAAATTAATTTGAATTGTTTTTACCATTCAGCTGTTCTAACAGTTATGATAGTCACTTCATTTTGTATTTTTAGGCTGCAAAACGTATATAATCCTATTTTTAAATGTTGCCTGTCATGGAAGTTCACAAGTTTACATTCGATGATTTTCTTGTTGATAATTTTTGTCAATAATAAAATTCAGCTGATTAATTTTCTCGATTCTGCTTTTTAGTAAATGAGACATCTGGACAATAAACATAACGATACTAAAAAAAATTCTACTGTTTCTAGAGTATTTTTATTTAGCGAAAACGTCTATTTTGAATCTACTGGAACGATTTTTATCTCTATAATACAATCATTAAATATTTAGAAAATATTACCTTGCAGTCAAAAAAATTCAATACTTTTAAACCGAAATAAATATACCACTTTCTTCTCTCTACATCGTTTTAGTAATAGCATTAGTTTGTCTTATGTCTTAACGTATCCCATATGGAATTATAGACTTTGAGGACCCTAAAAGTTGGGATTCTAAAGTCCCGATGAAAACATTTTTAGTTTCTATAGTTTGGCATACTGTGAACTATGTCCATTTTATGCGCATTTTTAAAACAATTAATCTATTCTATTATGAAGTATAGAATTAACCTTCATAACAATTTCAAACGTTAAATCTTCTACGCATCATGTGAAGGCATAGCGCGAGTTAAAAGTATTGTTATTGTGCCAATAGAACCATTTTTCTTCTATGTGCAGCATGCAATACTTGATGTCTCTTAAATTCTTATTAAAAGAGAAAAAAACATCGCACTGGTCAATATATAATTATAAATAAACCAAAATATTTTGTTCAAATATTAAATATTAGTTTCCACTCGTTAGTTTTCATATTCATCAAGCAACATTTGCAACAATCGTTTAGGACTTGGGTTTCGATTTCGCAGAACAGCTGCTTGTCGTTCTTGTTGTTCTTCAACTTCAGTAACACAACATATTTTCTTGCCGCATATTTCTAAACTTGGAGCACATACTATACGATGACCCGCTACTCCACAGCAGTCAGCATTTTGCCGACAAACATTACCATGTTTACTGCACGAAGATGATAGTAAACCTCTGAAAGAAAATCACGACTTAAAAAAACTGAATAAATTATTTGAGTCAACTTACAATGCTGCTGAAAATAAAAGGATAAACACGACGGCAGTGCCGAGCAATGGCTTCATTATTTAAGAAGCTAAAATGTAAAATGAATCATTATTTGTTGTATTGCGCTGTCTTATATACTTGCTGCTTTTGATTTTCTTTTCTGTATATCAATCCTGCAAACTGAATAATGAATAATGAATAACGAGACTGGTAGAAACAATATTTGATCGAGCTAGTATTTTATTTTGATAAGGAAAGAAAGAAGAAAATATTGAAGTCAGTGTGTTAAGTTTCGTCATCGTATGAAGCGTCAGTTTAGTACGAGACGAACGCATACCTTTAGGCAGGATGAAAAAGGTTAATGTGCAAATATAATTATTGCTTCTAAGGTAAAACGTTAGTAATCGACAAGCCGTCAATGATTTGAAGAGCACCATTAAAATGTACAATGTTAAAACGAAAGTCGAATTACCTTGAAATTGGCTTGCTTTTCGCTTTGTGGGAAAATCACAAAAGAATAAAACGAAAGCAGTTTCAAATATCGACGTAGATTCGTGGTTACATATGTTCTTGTAAAAGATTCAAATTTATTGTTTATAATGTAACTTGTTACATTTACTAGAACTCAAAACTTATGTTTTGTTTTTGATTTTGATTTTTCTACTACTGGAGAAATAATTATATGTACATCATTGACGTTTCAATGATTTATCTTACAATAACCACTCTGTTAAGGTATCCTCCGTTCCATCGACAAGATCTTTTTTCCCTTTTCGTCGACACATTGTTATTGAATGGTTTCATAACTACACTGACGAAACCTTACCCTGGAGGAAAAAATAAAGTAAGAAATTACGACGGTATTGACATTTTTCTAAAGTAATACATCCCATACTCCACACTAACAATGGATTGGAAGGGAGGTATCATCGCCTTAATTCAAATATTGTCACTTCCACGCCAAATATATACGTTGTTATTGATGAATTAAAAAATAGTAATCATGTTCTATTTTCACTTTCCTTTGAACTATTTAATTATGTTCTTATTTCTGTTACCACTATTAATGTCTCTGATAAAATATATTTTTCCTTCATAAATTACTGTTAAATAAAAAGTGTCGATGAAGAGGGGAAAAAATCTTGTCGACGAAACGGGATAAAAAAATTCTGTCGATGAAAAGGGAAAATTAGTTCATTTGTCGATGAAATGGGCCTGAACCCTCTGTTAATAGTTCAAAAAACATGTATAACTTAGATGAAATTATTTATACGCTATTGGCAGTGAATCAATGACATGATTTGAAAGTTTCCAGGCTTTCTTGAAAAATTTTGAGAGAAAAAACATGAATTTCTCAAGACTGATAGAGTCATTATCTATCCATCGCGTTGCGGGCACGCCTATATATTGGAGTAAATACAATATCACTCGTTTGAATTTCAACAATAACCCAAATCTAGTTCAATATGGGGTTTCATCGCCTGTTCTTATTCACCTAGGTTAAAATGATAAAATTCTATTTTTAAATGGATGGAAAGCCGGCAATGGTTAGAACACAGCAACCTTGTATTTTATTGACTTTCAACAATTTTATTATTATACATTCCATTTTCAAAATGACTCAATGTGTAAGTGACTGCTTATACAAGTCTACAATCAATCATTATTTCGTTGCAGCAACGACTAAAGTAAACAGAAAAAAAGTGATGTAGCAATTTTTATTGCTCTTTTTATAAGCATGACATCGTCGTTAAGTCGTTTCATCTTGAATAAACATCGCAGACAATTGTTAGGATTAAACATGTCAAAGCGACACGTTATAATACGTTGCTAAAAAATTCAAGAGTAGGCGAAACATGACGTACATAAATCTGCTTTTTGCTTGTCATCGCGTTATATAAATAGTGAATGTGGTTGCAGAATTAAAAGCATTACAGTTTAATACTATTAAAGAAAAGAATATGACATTATTCAAAGCCAATCAACGCTTTTTCGACGTACAAAATGAACCAAACGAGATGCTCTCATCGTAAGTTGGATTACCGATCAGTTTATAATTCAAACAACATATGTATATTGTTAAATTTGTGTCTTTTAGAATCGAAGGTTATGATGATATGCCATTATTATCATTGAAAATGGCTGTTGAAAACTTGGAAAGAATCATAACGAAAGTTACTGAAAATGCAAATACTGCGAATGAACGATCTGCGTGTCCTCCTGATGGATTAAGTCAAGATGAATCTGCTTCGATTTGTCTTTACACAATGGATGGCAAAGTAAATGATAAATCTTTATGCCCTCAACTGAACGCTGCACTTCGATCAAAAGATCGTTCTGAACTTCTTCCATATCTTATGTACTTGAAATTGTTCTTAACTGCATTATGGAAACTGAAATCACTAAGAAAATCAGTATGGCGAGGAGTCAAAGCAGATTTAAGTGCACAGTATCCAGTAGGAAAAAAATTTGTTTGGTGGGGCTTTAGGTAACATTATTGAATTCTATAAGAATCAAAATTATTTAACTAAACTTCTTTTTATATCATTTAGCTCATGTGTTGACTCATTGGATGATATTCAATCAGATCGACTTTTAGGTACAAGAGGTATTAGAACGTTATTCAAAATTGAATGTCAAACGGGGAAAGCCATTAGCGAACACTCATACTATAATGATATTGAAGAAATTCTTCTTTTACCTGGTATTCAACTTGAAGTTCTCAGTCAAAATCGTCCCAGTACAGATGTATGTATTATTCATCTAAAAGAGATTGAATCAACAGTGTCCTATCTTGAATCACCATTAACATCGTCAAATTTGAATAATTCAATGCCACGGTATCATCATGATAAACCCTACTCTGCACCATTATCATCTACACGTTCTATGTCACACCTAGCAAACACACAGAGAAGTAAATCATTGTCTGTGTCATCATCGTTACTTCCACAAGAAGATATAAAAATGCTGAAAAAAGCAACAAAATTCCATGAAAAAAGAGTTTTAAAAGAATTCATAAATCAAGAACGAAAGAAAGAATCAATACGTTTTCCGAAAGAACTCCTTGATTGTGATGATATGCAAATGCTTAGTCAAGAATTAGCGACAAATAAATATTGGAAAGCTATGTATTTATGGGAAAACTATCTCAATGAAAAACATATACTAATATTAATGCATGGATTAAAATTGAATACAACCATGAAATGTCTTAGTCTTGATTGTAATTTCTTGAATGATGAAGGTGCATCTGTGTTAGCTGCTATTCTCAAAAGTAATACAAGTTTAGGAGCTGTCTATTTGAATAGAAACCATATTGGTGACATCGGTGCTCAAGACTTAGCTGGTATGTTGCAATCAAATAAAACATTAACACATCTTGAACTTTCATCGAATTCGATTGGTGATGATGGTATTGCTGCCCTAAGTGAAGCTCTCAGATCGAATAGATCTCTCCGAACATTACATTTAAATGATAATGACATTACTGAAATTGGTGCTAAACATCTAGCTGATATGTTACTGGTAAATAAAACATTAAGGGAACTACACATTTCAGGCAATCCAATCGGTGACAATGGTGTGAATATGATTGCTGATGTCTTGAAAAGAAATACGACTTTGGAATCTCTTGATATTGGTGAAACAAAGATTACTATTGAATGTATGCAGGAAATAGGGAAAATGCTTGAAATGAATTCCACATTGAAGAGTTTAGATTTAAACCACAACCACCTAAAAGATGATGCATTGATGATGATTATTCCTTCATTGATGAAAAATAGCTCATTGACAAGTCTTGATTTATCAATGAACAATTTAACTGAAACCAGTGCAAATGAACTTGCGTGTTTATTAGAAGAGTCACAAACAACACTTACAACTCTTAGTCTTAGTCATAATCCATTGGGTGATAGTGGTGTCTCAAATATTGCATCTGCACTCATCAACAATAGAACTCTTATTAAATTAATGTTAGAATCTGTAAAAATTACGATTGAAGGTGTGAGTGAATTAGCTCAAATGTTAAGTCTAAACGAAACACTTCACTGTCTCGACCTGAACAGTAACGAAATAAGTGATGATAGTATAAATTTACTTGTTGATGGATTAAAAAACAATAGATCTCTACAAAATTTATATTTGAACAACTGTAATTTGACAGATGAATGTGTATCATCAATGATTGAAATGATCAAACAAAGTAGAACATTGAATTATATTGAACTTGTAAAAAATCATCTTACGGAACATGGAAAAACGGAGATAACTCAAGCTGCTTCATTAAAAAACCATTTTTCTGTGTACTTGGATTTCTCTTTTCAACGAGTACATTAGTTCATCTATTTTTTTCTGTTATCCTATTTATTGTTATTTTCAATTCATTTTTTTATATAGTTTTATTTATAACTTATTAAATAAATGTGTTAATGTCATATAAGTAAACCAATGTCTCATTCGTGTTTGACAAATACTACTTTTTCACATTGCTTATGAATCTCTATTGGTTTTTTAGACCAAGTTTTACGTAATAGTTTATTAATGACAATAAATACGGAAATGGTGTATGGTAGGAAGGGTGTGAGGGTGTGGGTGTGGGTGTCGGTATGCACTAGGCAATTCTCGCACCCACACCCACCACTCTTCAAAAAAATAGGAAATATACACTCTAAAAAAAAAGCTTTTTGCCGAACCCTCGAAAAAGGTTCCGTAGATTTGAAAAATCTTGCAAATGCATTCAAATGTTCAAAAAACGATATTTCAGTTCTACGAAACCTTTTTTTACTACAAAACCTTTTTAAGCTCAGTACACCAAAAACGTTTTTGTGAAAAAAATACAAAACCTTTGAGGTTCCATATTAAATTCTAAGGGCTTTTTACTAAACCCTAATGGTTTCGCACTAAACCAGTAGAATTTAATACAGAATCTTAAAGGTTTCGTATTTTTTTACAAAACCTTTTTTTGCTGTACTGAGCTTAAAAGGGTTTTGTAGTAAAAAAGGTTCTTCCCGCGGATACACAGGAAAAACCTTTAAAGGTTTCGTAAAACTGAAATATCGTTTTTTGAGTATTTAAATGCATTTGCAAGCTTTTTCAAATCTACGGAACCTTTTTCGGGGGTTCGACAAAAAGCCTTTTTTTCAGAGTGTAATTAGTCCTACTGCGAAGCCAGAATACCACAGATACATTTTAGTGTGGGTGAAATATTTTCAAAGCATGCGTCAAACATTTGGATAAATAGGCATAGGTAAACATGCTCTTGCTTCAAGGCACTTCTTTTTACTTGATTAGCTAAGACTCAATCAATGGGACAGCAAAAATATGAATAAAAAGTAAACTCAATAATTCAATTTTATTCATTAAAATATAACCCAATACTATTTTTACACACAGGCAGTTTTAAAAGGTGAAATTGAACAGCAAATCATTTTGCTTGTGTTAAGACATTCGACATGATGAAGAACATTTTTTATGCATCCAAACTATAATCAATCGTGAATCATAGGGTCGTAATGCTACCGCATTTTTCGCATGCATTATACTCTATATAAGCTGATGCGACGTATACTGGTATTTAAGGAGCGAAAGAAAAAATTAGTTGGTTTATTACTTTGATAGAATCACAACATATATTCGTCTAAAGACTTACCTGTGTGAAATATGAATACCTTCTATTGCTTATGTATAAGTATACTTTTTTCTACGATAGCAGCATTTTTTCCTCATCCAGCGATGCGATTTGGTTCTCAAGCTGAAGGCAGTGAGCAACATTATTTTTTATAATTTAAACATCATTATTATTTGATTTTCAACGTAGGTATAACGCATACTGAAATAGTTCAACTCGGTTTTATTCGAAGTCTCGCACAATATTTTCTTGATACTCAAAATGGAAGTAAAATTAAACCGGATGATTTTAGACAAGAAAATACGTTGGATGGACTTTTCCAAATAGTTCATCCCAATTGGCATAGTGAGCAACTAAAATTAAATACTTTTCCATTGAAACTTGCTATTGACACGATCCAAGTGCAAAATGCTCTAGTTGATCTTGAAGCAGCAACAAAAGATTTGCCCACAGCTCATTTCGATGCGGAATCATTTGTAGCGAGCAATCGTCGAGTAATGGACTTAAGAAAGAAAGGTAGTCCATCAATGATTAGTTCAATTTAATGAATCATTGATTTTCTTTTTAGTTATTGAAATTGTGAAGAGTTCAAAACCAGATTTTGATTCAGCGCTTAAAAAAATCGGCGAACTACTCCATACACTTCAAGACTTTTATTCTCATTCAAATTGGGTTGAAATGGGTAAAACCGATGTCAATGCTCGTATAGGTCTCGAAGAAAATATCGGTCGCATAGCTGAACCAAATCAACCAACATGCTCTAGTAATGGATGTCAAAAGATTAAATCCAGCTGTGTAAGATTAGCAAATATTATATGTAAATTTAAAACGATAAGCTTTCACCATGTAGAATATTCTGGAAATTATGTTTCTAAAAACATGTCCAATGATTTATTATGATTGCAAGGATAATATTTTACCTGAAATTCTTACTCAAGGCATACTGACTAGTGGTTACTATGCCAATCAATACAATGAAAAGAAAGAACCTGTACTAAAGCCAACCAATGTAGCAAAATGTTCCCATGGTTCTATAATAGATACAACAGCTCATCAAGCACCTATTGGTGGTATTAATAAAGATTCAACAAAGCCTGAATATTCACCTCATTATTACTTTCAGTAAGTGCCTGACTCGATTCATGAGTTTTTATGAAAAATTATTTTAGTCTTAAAGCAGTTCAATTAGCAATAGAAGCTACTCAACGATTCTTCAATGATTTACGCAAAGATATAGGTAATCCAATTTTTGAACGCTTGTTTTCAATTAATCCAACCACAACACAACTCGGCAAAGCAGCAAAAGCAATTGCAGAAAATGAAAAATTTCGTTTCTTCTCATCAACGTTTTCTATTGGTCTAAGTACTGGGGATGCTGAATTTCAACAGTTCCTCAAAGGAGTCCTTCAGAAAATTTTAAACATATTTATCGGTATTAGACGTCCCGACACTCCAACTTATGATATTAGTGATTTGGTCAACAAACAACCTAAAGCATCTAAAGGTTTGCGATCGGCATTAATCGGCAATGATAAAATGACCAAGAAAAAGAGACTTAGTCAACGTCGATTTCGTTGGATATTATAATATAATAGAACTTTCTCATGCCAATGCTTTATGTTCTTATATGAATATTGTTAGCATTTTTCGAAAACAAACAAAGATGACAGTTTAAGTTTAAATATAAGTTTCATGATCCATTAGAGAGTTAAATCAACAACATAGTTCTTCTTGCAATAAATAACCTTTTTCAACTAATTACTTCAAAAAGATGAACGTCAATGTCGTTTTCATTCAGAATATACATACTATGAACTCTATTAATTGTAGGCACAATTACCATCAGAATATAGCTGCTTTTGTGCCAACGATTACATAAGCTTCAATTGATCACGATGAGAACGAATCGACGTAGATTAAGAAATCTTGATTGCAACAAAGAGTGTTTTTTTTATTTAATATCGGAGTGTTCTAGCAAAAATTTTGTTTTCGTTGGCATTGCAGAAGTACTAAGTTTTCATAAATATAAAACAAGCGTACATATTTGCACGTTTATTACAGTCATGTTGCCAGAGAAAACTGTGTGCATACTACTTTAATGGTGTAATATTACCAACAAATGATCGCATTTGGTTTTTGCAAATGTTGACAGAAAATTCATCCACAAAAATATATGAACTGATCATATCGAATTTCTAAAATTCACAAAAATGAAAATGAAAATGCATTTTATGCAGAAAAACTAACATCGCGAATTTATATTCAGTAGTCGAAGGATTAAGCTTAGAACCTAATTTGGCATAATATAAAAACACAATTGCTAGTTGGCTTCGATCTGGGTGTGTGGGTGTGGACGTCGATGAAGAGAGGATCCACCCACACACACACCCACACCCACACCCTTTATATTTAAACGATCTTCACTATTTAAAAGAAGCAAAAACCTCTCACACATCTCATATTCCTACTAACTGAACTTGTGAAGACTTATTATTAAAAAAAAGGTGTTCAATAGTGAAAAAAAGAGAAATGCTAATTTGATTAATCCGACAAATATTATTGTCATACTAAAAAAATGTCTGTCAAAGTTATGTTGCATATTCTATTGGGGCGATTCTATAATTGATCTAAGATTGTTTTCTCAGGACATATGTGATTGAATTCTTTTTCCAGAATAAACAAATACGACCTTCTAAATGGGTACGCTGAGTCTCGTGAGGTAGTAATATTTGTCTGACTGACTTGCTAAATAAATCATTAACTCAATTCAGTAGAACGTTTTCGATAAACAGGTCGAAATATGTCACAATGATACATACACAAGGTCACGATATCCTTTCTAAGTTATTTTAGTCATAAAAATATGCCAAAAATTGAATTGAAATTAATGTACTTCATGATTTCTTCAAATCTCAATTTTTTTCTAATCTGAAACAGATTCGAATTATATCGATAGTGTCTATTAGGGGGAAAAAACAATCGTTTTTCAGATTAAAAAATATTAAATAGAATATAGAGATTAATAAGACTATTAACAAAAATATCGGCAACATAAATCTTGAAAAACCATGCAGAAGATAAAAACTCTTCAAACGAAAGAAAATTATTCAATTTGTAAAAAGAACAAATAAACGAGTTCAATGAAGCTTGTATTGAAAATATGAACAAACTATAGAATTCTTCTCGAAATAAAATAATCCGTTATTCAATAGAAAATTAGAAGAAAGATTCTAAATCTCTTGCAATGATTGTATTTTATCCATTGAAAATCGGCAACTCTCTAATTGATCTTTCATTCAATATTCATCATAAATAGAAGAATAATATTCCTGTATTGGGTTAATGGTTGAAACAATTAATATTTGTTCGTCGTATTGAAAATAAGTATGATGAAATAGTGCACGTCAACGTCAAGAAGTATTTTTCAACCCTCATTCACTTTTTTATGTCACCTTAATCTTACCATTCTGAGTACGTTTTAAGTTGAATTTGTTTGATTATGTATAATTATTCAAAAACTCAGATTAGATTAGACATAGAAATAGAACATGACCTTTATTTAAATGAAATAGTTCGATTGGGAATGATGGATAGTCAAAAAAGATATTGTTCTTATTTCACAAAACTATCAAAAATATTCTTCTAGTTGATAAACTATGGATTAATATATATTGCTGGGTGTGGGTGTGGATGTGGCTATTGCGAGAGAGACCCTCATACCCTCAGGGGTGGGGGTGTGAGTGCCTCTCTCACAATAGCTATACCCACACCCAACTGACACGCTAATGTTAAATATACAAAAAAAAAATCTTTTTCAGCTATATTCTCGGAAGACTGCATGACCTATACCCATCGAACCAGGGTATGAGTGGGGGTGTTTTTAATGCTGAATTTGAATCTAATATTAAAACTAAATGTTAATTAGGAAATTGAGTCACTATCAGATGTGAAATTAGTGCAAATTGCAAACCAATAAGGTGTGAAAACATGCAGCAGTGAGAAAAGATATGTGTAAAAAAAGGCTTTAGACAATTTTAATTTCTTTTTAATGATTTCGTTTTGTAGAGCAAGACATTAGAAAATTTTTCCAAAAGTTTCATTTCTCGCTTATTTTTCTATGTGGAGATAAACCGCTTACAAGAAACTCGGAAAAAAACATTTTTTTATAAACTATCATTAACTACCATTTTTTTCTACATAGTTCAAGACCTTGAGTTTCCCAGTGAGATGTAATAAAGGAAACTCATTTGTTATCATTTTGTAGAGATAAAAGAAGTGCTTATAACGGATAGAATACACATAAGGAAAGTTGAAGGATGATAAGGTTTCGGTGGACTATACTGTAATCTACTGTAATATCCATATACCTGAAAGATAGGAAATAGGGGTGTTTACATATTTTTTATTCTTTTTCATGCAAAAGTGTTACTAATAACCTACATAAAGTACAGAACCATATGCAAAAAATTTATGTTCTTTCACACTGGCTATATAAGAAAATAGTCCAGTAAAAAAAACATTTTTTTGGACCTTGTTCTGCGGTGTCCTTTGTGTTTAAAAAGATCAATACAAGTTGATACTCCGTATGAAAATTCGATTTGATATAATATGAGTTAAAGCTAAATGATACAAAATGTATTTTCGAATACTATGAAATACGTTTTTACATGGCTTAAACAAAGTATTTCATTGCGACATTTTATTTGTTTTCATATATTGTATTATTTATTAACTAACATAAGGTAAAATATATCATAAGGTAAAATATCACAAAGGGTAAAATATAGAATCTACAAAGCACAATAGATTACAAAAGATGATTCGATATATGGAATATTACAACGTAATATATTTTTGCACTGCACACTGATATTCATGACAATATTTATGTGAATTTATTTTTAATTGTTATCAAGAAACAAGCTATTAAGCCGCATAGATATTCTGAATCTTTTTTATTTCTTCTCTTTGGTGATGATCATACATCTTTTCTTAATTTTTCTTGTAATGGTTAATCTTTATTAAGAAAGAAGTTATTAAGTAAGAAGCTATTGAATTCCATATGCATTTGAGTCCTTTTAATTTTCTTTTTTTACTCTGATCTTCCATTATCTCTTATTATTTTCTCGTTCAATAGTTATTTGTATCTATTCCGATATCTCTTACGATTATATTATTTGTTATTTGATCATTTATATGTGAAAATTAATCTTTTTATGTACCGCCAAATCTTTTTGCACAGAACCTAGATGAGTGTTTTTTTTTCTAATACAGAACGTGAAACACTTCGGCAAATAAAATTCTGCGTTCGTAAAATTATTTATTGCCGTGAATCGCAATAAATTGATATTAAGCAATTCATTAAAATCTCGAACAAATAATCGATTGCGAAAAAAGCAAACGTGCGAAATAAACAGATGATTTTATCTTTTCGTCAGGATAGATGGCTCAATCTGTTTTCAATTAATAAACCATCTAAGTGTCATTAGGGTGTTGTTATGCAGCGTTTTCTAGTTTACAATCAGTTTTTTCGTGGAAAAACTCAATTATACGAGGTTTAAGGTTCACAATAACCTATACAGAAAATCATAATCAGTTTGAATATGGGTGCGAGAGCGGGTGAAAGAATGACGTACAGTCAGATATTTACTGAGGCCCCTCAACCACCTACACTCACCTAGCCATGCCGCCTTGAAGACAATTATACATAAGTTTAGTTACATGAAAATAGATTATAATAAGAAAATTTGTTTGAAAATGCACTATATACACTGAAATCAATTCATTCATATTTAAATTTGATAAACAAAGAAAATGATACTGAAGAACACATTTCGATGATTTCAATTGCAAAATTTTATTTTTCAAGACTTTTCACCCTTTACGACCGGCTGTTGCCAACAGGAAATATCCATGATTTTTATTATTTCCATTTATTCGGGAATCCTCCTTTCTAATCCAATATATTATAAGTCTGAAACAGAAAATTCACCACTATTGATTGTCCAGTGTGAAGTGAGTGACTTTAAGAAAAGTTTACTTTAATGGTTGAATGGCTCATCCAAAATCTGGTTGCTCGAATCGCTTATTTTCTCAACAGAGAGTTCTTTTCCGTGGTGAGAGCCAAATATGTGTCACGAGATACGTCGTATTAATTTTCGAATTATTGAAAACTTCTATGTTTTTACTATCAGTGAACTATTCTTGAAATATTAACTAAAGGATGCCATATGGCAACATTCGCCCGAAAATGATTTACTGAATAGTAGAAAGTGCCATATTTATGATTTTCATTACAACTATTTTACATTTCTTTATCACAAAATAATTTACTATTCAAGAATTTCTATTTAATGATGAAAAATACACAGTAGTGTCACACTTGAAACTTGAATTCAGTTGAAAATAGAAAATTTCAACTTTCAACGTTCAACGTGTGGCGATATATGTGTGAGTCACCATTCTTCGGAATGCTATTGGTTTAAAAGTTGAAAATTGAAAATTTCAATTTTCAATTGAATTCAAGTTTCAAGTTGGCATATATGAAAATACACTGGTGTCAAAATATATACGATGAATAAAAAAAG